GCGGAGCCAGACATCTTCTCCTAAACTATATTAATATTAAAATTTAAAATATTTACAAAAGTATAGTTTTATTAATAGAACACCAATTAAATACGTAATTCATATACATGAGCGATATATAAAATTAGCCAACAAAAAAAAACTCATTATAGATTTATCTATAAGATCTAACAAAAAAATTTTGAACTGAAAAATTGGGCTAAATCATATATTAAATTTTAAGAAAAAATTTCATAACTAATTCAAAAATTAATTTTTTCAATCACAAACTTAATATTCATCATTAAATTTTAACAAACAATCGAAACTAACTTAAACTATAATTATTCTAGTAAACTAAACCTAGGTATATGAAGTACTTAATTTATCACAATAAAACTATTCAAACTACCAAATCAAAATAATTTAGTCTAATTATAATGGAGGACTACAAGTCTCAATTCTAATTCTATAAATAAAAATAAAACAAATGAGACGACTACAAGTCCGAATTCCAATTCAACATATAAAAATAAAACACTAGAGAGAACTACAAATCTAAATATCAATTAAATATATAAAAAAATAAATCATAGAAGAGGACTACAAGCCCCAATTTTATTTCAATATAGAAAAATAAATACAGGACTACAAATCCTAATCTCAATTCAATACATAAAAAATAAAACATAAAAGATGATTACAAGTCCCAATTTTATATTTTCAATTCAACATGTAAGAAATAAAATACAAAAGATAGTTACAGGCGCTAATTTCAATTCAACATTTAAAAAATAAACCACAAAAGAGGATTACAAACCCTAATTTTCAATTCTAACATATAAACATAAAACAAAGCAAAGGACTACAAGTCATAAATTTAGTTCGATGTGTAAACATAAAACAAATGAGATGACTAATCTATTTCGTAACATAATAGTTAATCTTTAAATGTCCAAATTTTTGATATCATATTCCATTGATATTTATAAGTGAGACTCATATATTTGTCAAAATAACATAACTACCCTTAAATCTTTTAAAAAAAAATTCAGTGGGAGTAAATATTTAATAAATTCTAATTTTTTTAAAAGTATACTCGGTCCCCAAAAATTTTTAAAATTCCAGTGGGTCTGTTGTCTCCACTGCCCCCACTGTGGATCTGCCACTGCTTGAAAAGAGGATAACTCAAAGTGGGTATCTCGTGCAAATGAAGAGTTTCATGTGAAATGAGGAAAAAAATTTGGAAAAAAAAATAAAATTGTCCCACATTATCTTAGGGGGGAGCTTGCGGAGGAGTTTCATCANAACTGTGGGCAACCTTTAAAGGCTTCCAAATGGTCCATAACAGAGGAATCAACTGCATCTTTGAAATTGATTCAAATGATACCTTCAACTTTCTTACTAGGAGCATGATAGATTGCCACCCTTTCAAAACCCTCATTGAGAACCGTAGATACATCATCCGCGTGAATAACATCATGGCAAAGCACACATTGAGGGAAGGTAACCAATGCGTTGACTGCCTTGCCAAGCTGGAAGCTGAATTGTCTTATATATTTTCTTTTTTGACGATAGACATTACTAGTGTTTTTTTTATAAGGGAACCAAAGTAACTAAGGCTCTCTCTTCAAAGCACTGAAAAAAAATAAAAATGCAACCGTCTAAATAGAATTGCTCATAAATAATATATATCGAACAAATAACAAATNATAGATACATCATCCGCATGAATAACATCATGGCAAAGCACACATTGAGGGAAGGTAACCAATGCGCTGACTGCCTTGCCAAGCTGGGAGCTGAACTGTCTTATATATTTTCTTTTCTGACGATAGACATTACTAGTGTTTTTTTTATAAGGGAACCAAAGTAACTAAGGTTCCCCCTTCAAAGCACCGAAAAAAAATAAAAATGCAACCGTCTAAATAGAATTGCTCATAAATAATATATATCGAACAAATAACAAATTTATTTTAAGAATCGAACTTGAAACCTAAAAATAGGGCAACAATAATCTTCGGCCTTAAATGTAAACATTTTTTTACTTATTTTATTAAATATTGAATTTCAATAACTTCTATATCACCAGCATANATAGAAATATGCCAAAAAAATTCATCGATATCTAAGTTTATTTAATAACTACAAATAATGATAGACATTTGTGATTTATCTTTATCTTGTGTAATTATCACTCTATAAATAAAGTTGAGCTCGATGTAATTAATCACCGTCAATAATACATCAATGTAGCCCATTGGACATTTAGGTTGTAGACAATGTGCCGAACTATGTATTTTTTGGTGCTTTTATTTTGCTTTATTTTCTTATTTCCAATCTCTCTTATTATGAATTTCTATGGCGGAGAGGGGTATTGCTCTTTAGGGAAAGAATAAAAAATGATCTCAATCAAGCACAAATAGAAACACACTCAAAAGAGTCTACTCCATAAAATACACAAACTTTGTCTACATTGGATAGAATCTCTCATAACCTAAGAGACTAGGCATGCCATAAAATAAATTTAAAATGGATCCTAAAACACTATGGTGTGTAAATAGAAATTGCATTTTGACTATTGATTACAATGTAAATTCAAAATGCACCTGTCACATGAAGTTTGGAAAATTTTCTAAACCCTCAAGTTAGAGACATAGACAAAGCCCTTAGCCTCTCAGAATGGTGCAGAAAGTACTGTTGCACATGAGGTAAGACTTTTTGGTATGGAGTACCTTGGTCTCAACTGTTCATGTCTATCCTATGGGGCATTTGGAAATACAGGAACACTGAATGCATAGAGAAGATAAAAACCAGACTGTTTACCCAAGAAACAGTTGATGCTTTTAAGATTACAAGCTCCCAAATCCTATCTTTTCCTCCTAAATTAAACTTATTAGTTGGATTTTCCCTCATACAGGCTGGTTCAAGATCAACACCAATGGCTACTCGAGAGGGAAAATGCTGGCATTGGAGTGATTCTAAGAGATGATATAAGATATCGGAAGGAGGGCTTCGCTGGGAGAATTAACAAGACTACCAGTCTCAACGCTGAACTGTGGGCAACCTTTAAAGGCTTCCAAATGGTCCATAACAGAGGAATCAACTGCATCTTTGAAATTGATTCAAATGATACCTTCAACTTTCTTACTAGGAGCATGATAGATTGCCACCCTTTCAAAACCCTCATTGAGAACC